GAGGGCTCCCCTCAGCCTCCTCTTCTCCAGGCTGAGCCCCCCCAGCTCCCCCAGCCGCTCCTCCCCAGCCTTGGGCTCCAGCCCCTGCCCCAGCCTCGCTGCCCTGCTCTGGCCACGCTCCAGCCCCTCCATGGCCTTGACCACCTCAACCTAAACGATTCTATGATTCTTTTCTAAGAAACCCCCGCAAGGCTGAGTCTTTCCTACCATCTCTCATTAAAGGCAGGAGAAATTGTGTGTTGATGTCAGAGCCCCGTTAATTTTCCAGTCACCAGCAGCTGATTACCAGTAGCAAAGCACGAAAGGAGAAACAAGAAGACCAACATACTTTGAAGAGGATACATATTTATTTTGTTTTTAAAAAAACAACAACAAAAATACCACCCTAAACCCAACCAGCCAACCCCAAACCTCTGCTAATCCAGAACGCTGATCAGAAAGTATTTTGGCTCACCCGCTTTTCCAGCTTCTGCTAAAAAATCTGTGCTATTATCTCTACAGCAAACATTAAAACCAAACAAATTGGTAGCCCCATTTTGGAGGGCAGCCCTGGATTCAAATACTACTTTCGGCTAACGGGGCCCTTCTCCATGGACCTTTCCTCCGTCTCGCCACCGGGCAAGCTCACCCGCTCTCCTACAGCAGCAAGGGAATCGCTGCCACTTCTGCGACGCTGCAACAACTATAAATACTCAGAAACACCCAGATCACGCTGTAAAGTTAAAAAAAATACCCCCGACAACAACAAATAATAACCCATCGTTGACACCTGGTTCCAGCGAGGACCAAGTACAGCACACGGTTAAAGAGAAACCCAAACCCCCCCAAACCTACCAGCATCACACAGAAATTGGAGACAACATGCAGTTTCCTCGCTAGGACGAGCGAGCGGGCGAGGAGGCTATGTACAGTACGCGACGCTCGCTCGGGCACCCGCTCAGCTATTGCTTTGCTAAATCCCCAGCCCAGGCTACAGCAGCCGCGGCCGCCAAAGAGGAGTTACAGCTCCTGCTGCCCAACCGCAAACGCGGCTTCAGCCTGGTGTTACACCGGCGCGTTTTCAGCTGTGATGAACCCCTCCGGTTAACTCTGTGTCCCTGATGCTTTCGCGCTGAATTTGCGCCGCCTTCCCCTATCTCCCTGTCTCAGCTGAAGCTCCGTGTAAATAGCTTTAAGATCAAGGTGATGGATAAAGGTTTTGCCTCTCTTTGGGTCCCTCCTGGAGCCTGCGCAAGCGGCTGGAAGCAAGAGCTGACCCGCGCTAGGTGCTGGGGCAGCTGTTGGGAAACAGTTTTTCCATCTACAAAATCCTTGGAAACATCCCATGCCTGACGCTCAAAATACAAGAGGTTTTTCAGGCTCAGGAAAAAATCAAAACCAGAGGAGAAAACCCTTCAGCACCTCAGGAGGGAGCTGCAGGTCCCGTCAGCATCGTACCGGCTCTGGCTGGGACGGAGTTAACTTTTCCCACAGCCGCCCGCGCGATGCTGGGCTTCGGGCTTGTGGCTGAAACAGCGTTGACAACGCGCCAGTGTTTCAGCGCTTCCACAGCGTCGAGGCTTTCCCTTTTTTCCCCACTCTGCGCCCCCCCCCCAGCGATTAACCCCCTGCCAGCGGGGGTTAACCCACCACAAGCACAATCGGAGGGGTTGCGACCACCGAGGCTGGAAGCCATCGGGAGGTTGGGTGGAGGAATAACGGAGCATAGTCCTTACTTGGCCAAGCTTGATGTCAATCGGGTTGACGTTGCTGGACGCTGTAATTATCACAGCTGAGCAGGGACAGCATGACAGCAAGAACAAGGTGCTCCAGGAAAACCGAGGCAGCACAAAACAGCGCTCCCCACTGCTCCGAGACGAAGACAAGGCTGCGCGCTAAGCCGTGCTCTGCCCAACCCCGAGCAGCTCCTAGAAGAGCTGCGGCTGCTGCTCCTCACCTTGCTGGGTGATGCGCGTCGCCTGCCCGCGCGGGGACGCGCGCCCCGAGCTCCTGCAGCCTGCCCCAGCTGAGGGGTGACGCAAAGGGACACCGGTCCTGCGCCAGGTGGATGCTGCTATGACGCACAGAAATGCCACGAGCGAAGCTGATGCCCAAGGGGTGGGAAGAGAGAATTGGGTGAAGGGAGAGTAAAACCAGGCTCCCCCAGCAGCAGAAATAAGCTCAGCTGTACCGGCCCTTCTAAAGTTTCTTGGCATCATTTGAACCCTGAGGCTGGACTGGATGCGGGGGGACCAGAGGCGCGTTGGGGGCTCAGCGCAGTTCGTTGCAGCTGACTGCTGGTAACGAAGCTCACCGAACACGCTTGTCATGAGGGAAAAAGTAGGAAGCGACTGAAAAGTGACCTGCGCTGAGGACCTAACCGAAGCAGGAGGAACCCATGACACCCTCCGGCTGGTGAAGTATCTGGGCAACATCTGAGGACCCAGTGAAGCCTCAACAGCACTTCACCGTCTCCCTGAGAAGGCGACGCAGTGGCACTTTCTGTCCCCTCAGCATCACCCCTTTTTGGTTTCCTCAGGCTCCCAACTAGGCCCTGCTACTAGCGATGGGGGCTCGGGGGCTTGGGAATCAGCCCCCTGAGCCATTCCCCAGTGGAGGATCTACTGGGCAGACTGGAAGGCTCTAGCTACAGGTGTATCCAGCGTCCTTCCAGCACAGGTGGTAGGATCAGGCAACAACAACCCAGGTTAACGGCCAGGCCTGGCATTTCCAGCGTAACCAACAACCCGCTGCACAAACAGCAGCTCCCCAGGGCTCAGCCATCCGCTACGGCCACCTGGACATTAAAGGATGGCACCAAACAGGCTCAGGGTCATCAAAGCCGGGAGGAGCGGACAACAGCACCACTACAAGGTTGGGCTCCTAACAGAGAACTGGGTCAGCTTCTGCATTACTTAAAAAGGGCTATTCAAATGAAAAAAACAAACAAACAAACAAAAACAGGGGGAGAGGTTGGGAGCAAAAGGGGTTGCATAAAAAAAAAAATGCAACCTTGCAAAAATAACTGTATCGTCTCTCCATGATCCATCTCAGGTAGGTTCCCAGTGGAGGCTCCACGTTTCCCAGGAGCTTGGCACAGCCAACGCCTCCCCCGTGTTATAAAAACAACCCCCCTCTGGGGGATTCCCTGCTGCTCTGCTCTATAAAACAATAAAAAGGTCCCTGCCGAGAGTCCCCGGCTGTTATTCCTCCTTCGGCCTCTTCCTCCAGCGGGCCAGGAAGGGCCCGAGGCTGTTCCACACCTCCGTGTACATGAGAGTCCCCACGAAGACGAAGGCGGTGCCCAGCCAGTGCCAGGCCGTGAAGGGGTTGCGAAAGTAGAGAATGGAGAAGATGAGGCTGACGAACTTGCGCAGCGTCACCACCAGCGTGACGGTGAGGGAGGTGCACTCCGTGGTGAGGATGAAGACGCCTCGGATGCAGACGTATCTGGGTGGGCGGAGGTAAGGGGACATCGGGGCTGAAGAGGGAGGACACCTGGGCAGGCCTTCGGGAACGAAAAGGACTGGGCAACGGAGAGCCCCAGTCTGGTTATAGAGGGAATAAAATTCCCTTCTCCTCAGATCGGTATTTCTACAGCTTCACTACAAACCCCAGGGACACCCCAAATCTCCCAGACTCCCCCCAGCCCTGCTCTGGGACAGCAAAACTACCCCCCCAGAGCAGCTGGGGCTGACACGTTGGCAAAAGGTTAACGGCACGCAGGGTTTGCAGTCCCTGCCATGGAGCCAAGGGAAGCTAAAATCAGACTTCTCCGTTTATATGCAGCAGAAGTCCCCTCTTTCCCCCGAGGGGGCCTGGGAAGGGCAGATTAAACAAGGGGATTCATGGAGGAGCGTGCGCAGCGATAGGGCACAGTGCTCTCTCAACAGAGAGCAAAAGGGTAAGAGGGCCTTGGACTGAAGGGTCCCTTTCTCGAGGGCATCTCAGCTCCATCAGGCTTGCAGACCTCTCCTCTGCCTGGGAGATTCTACTCACCGATATCTTACGAACAGCTCCCGATCTGTCGCTTCTACCGCGAGCTGGCTCACAAAGCTGCCGGGAGTTTATGCCAATCGGCCTGTCCCTGGGGAGGTGGTGGCAGATTTCAGCCACCATGGAAAAAACGTAAGCCCCAGGTTAAATTCCACTCTATATTTTCCGAGTTATATAAACATCAGCTCCCAAATGCAGGGAAGACTCCAAGGACTCGGCACCCCCACCCCATTCCTCCTCTCCCACCCCACTGCCATCTCCGCCTGTCTCGAGCTGAGCTTTGAAAGGATACTGAGTGACGACGTTCATGAGGAGGTAGAACCACATGATGGGCAGGGTCAGCCCGATCACCGGGACCTGGAACAGCTCTGCGGGGAGAAAGGACGGAGCGAGGTCACTGCCCTGCTACTGCTTAAAGAAGATGCGAGGAGAGGTGTCTCTCCCCTGTCCAGGACTGACCATGATCCGGGACATGCTGCAGCTTCCAGAGGCCGTTGCTGCATTAGGCAGACTGATTTTGCACCAAATGGAGAGTTATCTTGTTCTTACTGTGATAAATGATGAATACAAGAAAGTTTGCAGATACTTATGCTCGGACTTCCGTAGGGAAGAAAGGAAGATGGAGGAAGAAGTAGGCTGAGGGAAAAAGACGTTAAAAGAAAAGCTCTGTCTTGCTTTCTTCTCTCAGGGCTGCCCTACTGTTAAAACTGGATGAATCAACTGCGTGGCTCTGAGAGGCCGACAGCGCTAGCGTGGGGAAGCCTGCACAGCACCAGCAAAGCACAAGCCAACGGGTCCGTGTTTACACCTGTGGTTGAGGATTTGGTCCCGTTACTCCCATTTCTGAACTACTACATTCCTTTCCCCAGGGGTTACCTATCTCATGCTTTTCCTGAGAGGGTGTAGCATGCTAGAAATACATTGCAAGGATATTAATGGACAGATTAAAGTGATCTATGCGTGCAAATATCCCCTGTACGCAGAGGGAATTAAAGCACCACCAAACTTACTCAGCAAAGATCTCTCCAGTTACACAAAATTGGGATCACAAAATATAGGAAGCTATAAATACATGAAAATATAAAATTCACAAAATATAGGAAGCTTGCTGGCACTGAAAAGCCTGGTGAATTTTACCATTCAACTGAAGCAGATGTATAGCTCAAGGTGGACGGATGAGCAATCTGGCTGGGCCCAACGGGTGTACGCGTGCGCATTAGTGCAAAGCGTGGGTTTTAACCACAGCGATTCAAACCCTAACTCACGGCTTAGCTTTGCGAGCTGCTGCGGCACCGGCTGAACGGTCAGCTGCCCACAGCCGGGCTCTCAGCAGCCAGCAATCACCCCTTGTCCAAGCATGCTGGCATCTGGCCTACCAGGAGGAAGAGGTTGGACAATGTCCCCAAGACAGTGTGCGTTTTCTTTTTTTTTTTTTGCCTTTTGGCTTTTTATCAAACCTGAAAATTCAAAGGGCTTGAATATCCAAAGACAACAGGCTGCCGTGCACAACCGCTGGACTGAAAGCTTCCTACAGCATTTTCCAGAGGACAGAAAGGTACGAGAGCAAGGATCCGTCTGTGCAACACTCACCAGACTGGCTGAAGAGGACTGCATGGTGGTAGATGTTTGGGGCAAGGAGGAGAAAGCCAGGGAGTGGTAATGCGTGCTGGAGGGAAAAGAAAAGACATGATGTTAACAGATGATGTGAACCCACCCCTCATCCCGGGAAACCAGCCTCAGACATCTGGATGAGAGCACGCTCTTCACTGCTGCAGCCTTGCAGCGTGTGATCCTTTGGATTTGTGCCGAGTGCAGGGTGGGAGAGGAAGGGACCATCTTAGCAGCTCTGCCTGCCCAAGAAAAGCAACAGAAAAGACATGGTGACTTACATTGTAAAAAAGGGCCTCTTTGGAGTGCTTCCCAAACTGCTTGTACAGCGTCTCCTGGAAAATCCCCATCCTGGCAGACATGAGGAGGGCGAAGGTGAGCGCAGCAATACCTGGAACAGAAGCGCAGCCTTGCAACGCTGCTCAGGGATGGGACAGCTCAAGTCAAACAGCTTGACGACTCCCTTGATTTGGCTTTCAGTGAAAAAAGCCAAAGCATCCAGACTTGATAACATTGGCAGAAAACTGATAATGGTCTTGAGGACACGGGTATCTTATTACAAAGGCTGAGATGCCAAAAGACTTGTGAAAATTTCATCTCTTTAAAAAGAGACTCAGCCCTGGCAAGCAGAGCTGGTGGGATACCAGGGACACAGTTGTTTGCCACTATTGACGGTACATCAATCCCAGCTTCCCTGAAAAGCCACCAATAAATCTCGGTTGGAGGTACAAAAATAGACTCAAGTGCCAGGCTGTGGAGACTCCTCCATGAAATACTGTGCTGAATGAACACTTGAACCAGCTACAGCCCCTCTCCCTCTCTGCAGCATAGCTCACAGCATCAGATATATCAGGTAGGGCTATTTTTGCAGAGAGAAATCAAGAAGATATCTGCAAACATGCATGACTGTAGTCTCATTCTGTTACTAAGCCTTGCAGAAACTCCTTAGGTGCTGTATTTAATTTGTTGGCCAAAGGAAGAGTATCTCCTTGCACAAAGCAGCTAAGGAGTGCCACAAAACCCCATTCTTTGCAAGTCAACATCTTCCAGATGCTCAGCACAACTCAACCTCAGCGCGGGGATTCCCATCACAGTCTGCTTCGCACAACCGACGTGGCCAAGGACATCAGAGAGCCGAGTCTTGCCAGTATCCCAGCAAGGTCGGCTGGAGATGTGGCACCCACATACCTAGCAGCCACCACAAGAAAACCTGGAGTCCGTCCTCTTCATTTAAGCTGGAGTCAGACGCCTGGTGGAGGGAGACACAACACAGTCACCACGAGCCACCATGTCCCTGCAGCTCATCTGGACCTGCCTGTACCTCACTCTTCGTTTGTGTGTTGTGGTCCAAAGCAAGCCCATAAAGCAAAGACCATCCAAGGTCTCCCATTCTCCAGAGTTCCTTCCCTGGCTGAACAGAGGTGGTAGCAACTAGAGCACACTTTGCTTTCCACTCTGCTTCATGGAATGCACCAGATTCCAGCCAAAGTGTAAATGTCTGATGAAGAAGATAGCTTTTCTGAACAAAATGCCCTGGCTTGGCCAGAGACCGAACCCTTCAACCACAAAAATAATCAGTGCCACTTAGAAGGCTCCCACGGACAGCCCATTGGCAGGCTCCTCTGTCCTCATCTCAGAGGTGGGTGTGCAGGAAAGAACAAGGGCTCTGGCCAAGCCCCGGTCAGGTCCTAAAGCCAGGGCTCTGGCTTGAGGTCAAGACATGGAGGAAACCAGGACTGTAGATGTTGTTAGCCGAGGGTAAAACTCTGGGTAGCATGGCTTGGCTCAACTCTCTTTCACTGTGGTTTAGGGCAAATGAGATTACTCATCTTTGCCACAACTGTCCATACTATAGCAAAATCCCATGCTTGCTGAGAGTTAATCTGGATCAATACAGAGCAAGGCCGCGTCGCATAGACCTTCCTCAAACACCCTAAGAGTATAAATAGCTATTAAATGATGGGGTACTTGGAGGTTTGACAGCCCTGTTTCTTTCCAATCTCTCAGAGCTGGATTAAGTGCAACCAATTTTCACTTGACCACCACTTTATGTCATTTTTCTGTCTTCCGTTGACAAGATCAGGCTTTGGGTGCTGACCCAGGAAAAGCCCAAAGTGGTGTTACACATGGATTTTCTTCACTCCCTCCTGTTCTCCAAATACGTGCGCTTTATTTCAAGGGTCACAGAAAGTCACGTTGTATGCCAACAGGTCTAGACAAATTTAGCCTTGAAAGCTGACAATCTCTTCTGGGATAAAAGGAGCGAAGATTTAAGATGGCTGAGTTTTGTTTAAGATTCACCTGCTCCTAACTGCAACACATTGCAGTAAAGGCAAGAGAAAACAGCTTCTAGCTGTGGCAAAAAACCAATGGTATATTCTCAGCAAAAAGCAACCTGAACAACACAGGATAAAAGGCATCTGTAATTAAGTTAAATCACATGCATGTGTGTGCGTCCCTTCCCTCCAAACCACAGGAAAATGAGACCAGGAACAAGAGCTTTCGGGGAGCAGATCTAGAGCTAGGAGACATCTTGTCTCTCCATTAATAGTCAGGAATTACTGATGAAGGTGCAGACAGCAGCTCCTCCTGTCAATAAGGTTCACAGCTATGACCTCAGACCCTTTCCGATCCTTACCACTTGCTTTGCAGACATGAAAGTGCAGGTAAAGATCCCCAGGGACACCAGGGCTATGGACGTGTATTTAGATACGCTGTACCTGCACAGGGGAGAAGACAGATGTCAGTGATCCAGCCCAGCCTCACGTTGTTCATCTACTGCTCCCTTGCATTGCATTTTGCTCCATTACACCAGTGTGAACTCGGGGTAATGGGCACATACCCATTACTTAATGTTGGACACTGCTGGGAGGGAAGGCCAACTGATTCCAGCTGCAACAAAACCCAAGCATTTGGTCCAAGATCTCCTTGCCCGTGGCAAAGGATCCCTCTCAGATCAAAGCTAGCACGGATCTCTGCATAGCGATAGAGCGGCAGGGGATATGCCCACATTGGTCCCACAGCCAGACCCCAGGCAGCTGGGAGGACCCTCCTGGCCTGACATCGTTGCCCACTGTGGTGGGTTGACCCCAGCCAGCAGCCAAGCACCTACCCAGTCACTCGCTCATTCCCCCAGCCTCGTGGGATGGGGGAGAGAACTAGAAGAGCAAGAATGAGAAAACTCGTGGGTTGAGCCAAAGAGTTTAATAGGTGAGGAGGGGGAAAAAACAAAACAAAAAACCAATGCAGAGCAATCACTCACCACCTCCCGTAAGCATGGCCATCTTGGAAGCCAACTCCCCCAACCCTCTTCTTCCTCTACCCTGGTTTCTATTGCAGCACACGACACTATATGACATAGAATATCCCTTTCGCCACTTTGGGTCAGTTGTCCCAGCTGTATCCCCTCTCAACTTCTTGTCCACCCCCAGCCTACTTCCTGGGGGACAGAGTGGGAAAACCAGAGAGCCTCAACACTGTGTAAGCACTGTTCAGCAACAGCCAAAACATCAGTGTGCTAGCAACACTGCTTTAGCCACAAATCCCAAACACAACACCATATGGGCTGCTATGAAGGACTTAACTCCTTCCCAGCCAGACCCAGTACAGCCATCCATCAGGAGCAGTACCGGCCTCACAGAAGTAAGAGGAAAGAAAAGAGCTAACACAGAAGGCTGCAGTCATGTAAAATCTCTCTTTTCAGTCCATGCTTGCCTTAAACGAAGGAGTGAGGGGTGGTGGAAATGCAGAAGAGGGAACTATTCCAGGCACACCTGTGTGCCCCAGTTTCCCCATCAGTAAAACAAGAATATTTAACAGGAAAGGGGAGGGTACTAAACACCAGTCAGGATTAAGTCAATGGCAGAGCATTCCCTGGTGATGTAAGAAAGAGGCTTGTGATTTACCTTTTCTTCAAAATGATGATACCTAGAGCCATGCTGGCTATGAGAGAACCCTGGGAAAGAAGAGAGAGAGGAGAAAAACAAAATAGAAGGTCAGCACTACAAACTTCCCTGGACTGGATGCCCGCCCCAGAGAAACACTGCAAACTCAATACAACTAATGCCAAAACACCAACAGAAATGCCAGAACAGGATCAGGGAGACTGACAGGGTGGGGACAAGAGGAAACAGCCTCAAGTTGCACCAGGGGACATTTAAGTTGGATATTAGGAAAAATTTCTTCATCAAAAGGGTTGTCAAGCACTGGCACAGGCTGCCCAGGGAAGTGGTCAAGTCCCATCCCCTGAGGTATCTAAAAGACGCGTAGACGTGGCACGCAGGGACATGGTTTAGTGGTGGGTTTGGCAGTGTTAGGTTTGTGGTTGATCTTAAAGGTGTTTTCCAACCTAAATGATTCTATCATTCTATGAGTCTCACTTCAGCTAGGAGAAAGGGAGAAGTTGAGCTGGGTGGCTTGGGAACAAGGATGCTGGGGCAAACAGGCTACTAGGATCTTCTGGCCAGTGGGCCTCCCCCTTTATTGGCCCACTCATGACACTCGGTGTGTGCTACAGACCGGAACATGGCCAAATCACTGTGTTTTTAATTGGCAACAGGAGTGTGGCTCCACAGATTGACTGCAGGGCTGCAATACAAGAACCATCCCTCATGACTCATGCGGGACACATCTCCTAGAGTGTTGTCTGCTTTTCTTCTTTTTAACCTCTCCTGACTTCAGGTATCTCAACCCCATGACGTGTTGTGGGCGAATAGCCCCCACCCAGCAGATCTGCCCAGCAGATTTTGTTATTCCCAACAGCTGGAGCTCCATTTTCTTTGGTTTTAACAGATGTTTTAGCCTGACACTCATCTACACTTAAGCGAAGATGCGTTTTAATAGCATTTTCCAAAGCAAAGACATATGCAGTAACAGTGCAGGTGGAACTAGGCCAAAGCCATGCCCTCTGACCTGGGGTGTTTAACCAAGACACGTACACTAGGACACGAATCACTTGGCGTAGCTGTGCGGTGGAAGGGAAAGCTGCGTCCCGTTGGCCAGTGATTCAGTCCACCCAGGGCTGACAGCCAGAGTCTGGGCTTGGTTTTGTCATTCTTACTTCCCCATCACCTTTGGAAATATGAAGCCTGTTTGAGCCTCAATTTCCTCGTCTGTCCATTAAGTTGAAATTTAATGATCAACACTGTGAAAGTGAGGACTGGAGCTGAGCCTCCAGAGCAAGGTTGCTCTCCCCGTAAGTTAGCTGGAGTTTAGTATTTGCACAGGGTTTTGGTGCCCTCAGGGCAAGAGAGAACACATGCACCAGGGACAGGGCTTGCAGAGATGATGGGAAGAGATGAGGAGGAAAAGGATGGTATGACAGTACTCACTGATCTGAAGATCATGTGCAGCGGCATGGCGATATTTAAGTTCAGGGCATAGTTATTCACCACACTGACAGTGAAGAACATGGCGACCATGATGAAATAGTACCTGAAACAAACACAAAAAACCCCAGCTGATAGCTGTGCCTGTACCTCCCTGGGATGCTGGGAGACACCTTGGGAACAGAGGACAGGTTGCAAGGAAAGGCCTGGAGCTGAGCAGGAGCCCTCCTAGCTCTTGGGTCTGTGACAAGGACTAACAAGGAGATCAATCCACTTTGGATGCAGCAGGGAAGTCCTTAGAACAGGAAGCAGGCTGACCTGCACTGGCTTAGCTTATGCTAATCCCAGAAGGAAAGGGGAACTGAGGATACCCCAGCTGTGATCTTTTAGCACGGACTTTCTCCAGACCCCTCTTTCCTAAGGACAGCGGCATAAGACAAGGCTTGATTTGAGGGGATTCAATTTCTGCCAGCAGGCATCACTACCCTAAGTGGAACTAGAAACTTACTCAAATCCAGGCTGAACACCTCCATGGTTCTACACCTAAGCTAGAGAGCCTCCACAAACTGAAGTTCCTCGCTGTGACGCAGCCACGAATGGCACTAAACTTGCCCTCAACTTTCTGTCATGAGGACCTCTGCCCCGAGCACTCAGCACAGCGCTCTGTTTTGCCACAGTCTGCTAAGGAGTCCCACAAAACCTCCTCACTTCACTTCAGCCACTGCGTGCCAGGGAGGAGAGCATGAACGTGCCAGGCTATTGCCAGGACAAGATCAGCCCTGATGGAGAAATGCAAAAGTGAACTGGGCTGGCTTTCCAGTAAATGTCTCCCTCCCACACCTATTGCACCAGGCCCCAGCGAGACAGTGAGCTCTTCAAACACAGCAAATGCTTAACTGTGCACCATACTGCCCTGTTTCTTGGACAGGAAAGTATCTGATGGCAATTTCCTATTAAGAATTCTCGATAAACGAGGCATTCATATTTTATCAGGCATGACAGGTTCTCAACGAGACTTTGCAAATGCTGCAGAATGGATGGGATTTAGACAGGATAAACGGATAAGCCATTTTATTAAACACTTCTCCAGATAATAGATAGCCAGTCAATTTGTGCCTAGCAAAAGTGTTCAGATCAACTGTACCTTATTGGTATGGCCGGCCTCTTCCTCCCAAAATTGGCTTCGAAGATAAAGCCTTCCACCGCAATAAATAGGAACTGGGAGAACGTCACTATGTTCCCACATCCTGGAAACTGCCTGCAGGCATGGAGAAGACAGACAAGCATAAGAGCAATGCCATGGAGAACAAACACTGCATTGAGCTCCAATAAAAAGAGGCTAACAGCTCATAAGCCCAGCGTGAGCATCAATCTGGAGGGGCTTTACTGCTTTATCTGTCCAGGTTCTCACGTTGCCTTTGTTCAACCCTGCTTCCCTGCAGGTATTTATTCACCTGTACTTGTAGATACAGGCACAGCAATCCCTTCCTCAAACATTTCCAAAGAGGAAGCGAGCGGCCACCCCCATCACGGGGCACGTGGTGAATTGGGTCAGGAAGTGAAAAAGGAAATCGGTCGCATCTCACAGGTCTGTGTGACATCCCACCAGGGTACAGGATCTGAATGAGCACCACCAAGCACCGACGTAACCATACTGAAGCTGGATCTCCCTCTTTCTCATGGGGAAGTGGTTTGGATAGGGCTCTCTCCCTACCTACATCGTGAAAACAATGAGTCCACCCAGGAGGAAGGCAGCAGGATTTCCTATAGCCCTTATTTCCACTGCATGAGGGAAGAGCTGAGGTCAGGTCCGTGTCTGCAGGCAAGTCCGTGGTTCTGCTCGCACCTCATCCGCAGAACATGTGAGCATGAGCTCAAACCTGCTTTCAATTTACCCAGCAAACTTTAGCTCTCTGCCCTCCTGCATTTGCTGGATACCAAAAGGTTGGTTGTAGGTTCAAGAAGGAACCTACAACAGCTCATCATGAGAGCCCAAAAAGATCATGGCATTAAATGCCACGTGATAGTCAGGCAAGCTAGGGAGCTTGCTAATGTGACACGTGCTTTGCACTGAAGTTTTCAAACTCCACAAAGTATCAAAACCCACAAAACAGCGCCTGACCTCGAAAGAGACCCTCTTAGCTGAGCACCTTTATTCTCCCAGCGAGACTCAAGCACTGCAGTTATCGCTACCTTTGCAGCAGAAATTACACCACCTTTGAGCAAATCAACCTTGTGTGTTTATTCTGGGGGAAGAGGAACTACACACAAGGGCAAAACAGCCCATAACAGCCTGTCATTAAACAAACATTCCCTGCATGCTGCTCACCCATTCCTAGCAGACATGCCTGCTGCAGGCTCTGCCTCCTTCCTAAGAAGCTTAGAGGATTTCCTGGGAGGCACACAGTCAGCTGTGGGCTCAGAGGAGGCTGTGACATGTCAGACGATCAGAAAGCTCACTGTTATTTGCAGCAGGAGACAGAAGAATTTAAGCACGTACTTCCCCTTTCTCGGGTGCAAGACAGAAACCAAAGCCACGGAGAAGCTGCAGTCCCGATCCCCACCCTGCTGCACGAGCATTCAGCTTGCTCACGCAACGTGTCATCACGAGTAGTTAGAGGCTGGGTCTAGACACGGTTTTGCAGAATGCAAGCTGTGAGATGCGCTGGCGAACAGGAATAACCAAGCTGTCTCCTGGATAGCTGAGCTGAAGGTCTGGTCTCCTCCAAAATCTCCTCTGTCACCCCCCAGACATCTCAGAAAAAGCAGCAGTGCTCTGGTTAACGCAGAGCTGGCATGTGGCTGCCACCGAACAGCACCTGGAAAGGCCATCTTCTCCCTGCATTTTCCATGGGGCAGGCACTAGCCTGAGCCCCTCCCCTCTACCCACCTGCCGATTTTCACATTTTTCAGAGCTTAATTGTTCATGAGAGTTCAATCCCTGCTGCGCAAGGAGGTTAAAAGGTTCAAAAGTACTTCGGGGAAGAGAAGAAATACTGAACTGGAAACAGAGGCCAGGCTCCAGGATTGCAAATCTCATCTCTACGGGAGAACAGAAAGCAACTGTAGACTTGGAATAAACCAAGACCATTTCCACACAGGAGTGTGTTTCCTCCCAGTTCACTTACATTCTTGCCTTCAGTCACTTGCTGTACATATGACCTCATGTTATCAGTAAGGTGTTGACACAGGGTTATTTGTTGACTGATAATAAAAAGATAAACAAAAAAAAAAAAAGCCCCAGACTGTATCTGCCCATGTCTTTGACTCACAACCCCAACACACTGATACACCTAAAAGAATTGACAAGAAGTCTGGATATATCAACCAAAGACCTGCCTTAGCTGTAGCCAACTGATAGAGAGCTCTCCAGAAGCAATGTAGAAACGCTATGATGCAATTGTCACCCTGCCTCCTAGGATGGAATTGCCTGGGCTGTTAGTGTCTAGCAGCCCTGGCAGATGGTGGGATGAAACAGCCAGAGCGGGGTTCTCGGTCACGTCAGCGGAGCACAGACAGACTAGCCCAATTTCTGGACATCAGTTTGGGGCACGTTGATGCAGAGTACTCTCATTCAGACAGAGTTCAACACAACCAAATCACATCTTCGAGGAAGATTTCTGTCCGTCACTTAAGAAGACTCCACGTTTCATAGAGAATTCCTTCAATGGCCCCTCAAGAAGAACATCCCCCCCCCCGCCCCAATTTGCACCATAAAGGGAAGAAACCCCGTTGAGATCTACCACCTCAACCGTTTTTACAGAGAAGGCACCTCACAAGGACACAGCTTCAGAAGGCAAAAAGCAGATCATGGGCTTTCTAACCAGGCCTGTGTGTACACGCCACACAGAGCTTTGGCATCACGGCTCACAGACAGACCCCCTGGGACAACTAGTAAAGGACACTAGCAGAACAGGTTGGATTGCACCAGACAGGGGAAATGGGATGAACTGGATGGCGTTTCTTGCCCTGTCCAGGCCTCCTTCTGTTATTCAGACAGAGGCTTGTTTAACTTGCTCTTGAAAACCTCCAACGAGGAGTTTCCCTGCTCTCTCTCTTACAAACCCACTTCACTACACTGAGAGGGAGCAAACCCGGGGCTTTGGCCTGCTTTATATCCCTTTCACAGCAATTTCAGCCCCTTATTTCTCATTCTGCCTCCAGAGCCCAGCAGAAAAATTTCTCTCCTCTTCTCTGCAGCCATTCTCCACACATTTAAAGTCTTTTGTCTGTCCTCAGGCATCTCTAGACTAAACAGTTCTCTTTCCTCATAAATCCTGAGCAAATTTCTTCCAATCACCTTTGCTGCTCCGCACTAGACTGTCTGTCTGTCTGGTCGCTGCCTTTTCCTGGGGCCCTGCTCCAGGACTTTGCTTGTTATGAGAAGATTCATCGTCAAGAGGGACTTTTTTCCCCTCTAGACAACACCAAGACCCGAAGAAATAACCAGTGTTACCCCAATTTAGGGACCAAAGGTGAACAGGGCAAGAGAGGGGCACAGGAACTGAGCTGTCAGGAACAGGAGAATTTCTAAAGTGGATGAGAGGCAATGCTTAAGAGAAGCCTGTGTGTAAAAAGCAGCTTTTCTTAGATATCTGCAATTGGACTTGTAGGATTTGCTGCTCAAAATCCCTCCTGGAGTTTAGATGCTTAATGCAGCCTTTGAGTAGGGCCAAATGGTTCGCTTTTGTTTTAAGATGTGGCTGGAAGTCACACAAGCCCACTGCGTCTTGCAAGCATCTTGCAAGCAAATGCAAGAAGCCAGATCCAAAGCTTTCTTCACCTCAAAGGGGCCCATTCCTCCTCCCTCACTGATATTGCAGTAGAAGCCAGGCAGGAAAGGCAGAGGTTAGAGCAATCCCTGAGAGGAAAGACAACTTCGCCACACAAGGTCTCTTCCTCCAGGAACTGATTCTTGATTTATCCAGAGATTGCTGAATGGTTGTGCAACCTCGTGTTAAGGTACCTGCATCCTGGCCTCCCACTTGGAAGCAAATAGCCCCACTGCTGGCTTACAGAGTCAGGCTCTCTTTTGCTCTCCCTTTTTCTCTTAACAATCTGGGATGATGATGGGTGGGGAGGAAGTAAGGGCAGGTTTTAACTTTAAGTTTCAAAAGTCTGGGCATAATTGAAGTGAACATAGTACTGAATGGTCAGGGGATGCAGCTCCACGCTGACTTACTATAACTGTAGACACAGAACCAGTTCAATCATTACTTTTTTCCAGTCAGGTCTAGCACTTTTGTCTTCACGGCTTGCTGACTGGCCCTGAAAACAAACCCAACAGACCATCGCCTTTTCCAAGCCATGCCAGCCTTCCTCCATCAGGGTGAGGAAGGTGACACAGCGCTCGGACGTACCCCAGACGTCAGCCCTCCTCTCTCTGCAACCTGGCAATTCACCTTCGCTCCGACTGCCACAAAGGACTCCTCGCCTTCATCACGTTGGCTTTGCAGCCGCGTGATGCTGCCGAAGATCACATTTCCAGATGGACGATGTTCCCTTGGCCCTGCCTGCCATCCCAGGGGACCCTAGCCAGCTCCTGTGCGTCTTCTCCTTGGGATTTCAGCTGTAACTCGTACGAGGCGCTGGGATCAGAGAGCAGGGGTGGTGAGGATGCTTTAGGGCCAGACTGATGCGGTGGTCCGTGCGTCAGCAGAGATGGGAGATGCCCGGTGCCTGGGCAGGATACCCAAGCGGCTCATGATCGGACCAGACTGGGCCCAAGCCGAGGGTGACAGCCCCAAAAACCCCACAAAATCCATCAGGCGGTGACACAACAAGGCCAGGGCCTGGCGATCCACACCCGGCCTCCTCTTGGCACCTTGATGAGGAGCCTGGGGCTGCCCCCCAAGCCGTGAGGGGGCCGGCCAACCCCCCGGGGCCG